TCCCCGCTCAGGGGGACGTTTGCCGCTTCTCAGCCACAGCGACGCTCACCGCCGTCTCGCCGCCTCTGGGCTCCAGGAGGGGACCCGCTCTTCCGAAGCGCTCCCCGCGGGGGCGCCTTCTTGCGCCCCCCCTCTCCCCTGACACCCCTGCGCCTCTCGAGTCAGCTCCTGCTTCCTCTTCCTCATTGACGTTGCTCGGACATCGATCTGGGATCGCTGCGTCTTGCGGCCTATGGGACAAGTGTTGTGACCGACTTACGTAAGCCTGGCGGCACACAATTTACGCCTGGCTGGCGCAGCGGCAAGCAGAATGGCGAGAGAGGCGACGCAGAAGAAAGGGTGCCCGCAAGGGCACAGAGTATGCGCCAGCCAGGCGTTGAAGTAGAGATAGTGGACCGAGTCGAATAACGTCAGATGAAATACATACCAAGGAGGACATCGAGCGAAGGAGAGATCGAACTACACGTGCATGGCTATGAACAAGGGAAGAGAGCAGGCGACGCATAGAGAGTGAGGTAGCGCGAGTGAGGTAGCGCTACTTAATCAAGAAGCGCGATCGTCCTCCTCGTCTTCTTCCTCCTCCACTTCTAGAAGGATCCACTAGCCTCCCCATCCCACCAGGGATAATCGAGTCTTGCAGTAGCGGAGTGCGATTCGCTGCAACGTAATTTAGCAAGGCAACCTACGACAATATAGCGACTGGCATGGCAGGATGGGGCTGGCGCTGTAATCAGGCTAGCCTAGAGTGGACGGGTATGCTGCCTATGGGGTGAGAGCGAGGGCCTGGCAATCAGCGGCCCACAGCAGGGCCGACGCCCCTCTGCTGAGGCAAACATGGCCATAGTTGCCAGTTGCCCCCAGACCCACCGACCAACCCATCCAACAGTCTGGAAATTCAGTATCCCAAGTGCCAGCGATGGCTGAGGTACTCTAGTAGTGCACGGCGCCACGCCCAGTAGACAAGTGGGGGGCCGATGTGCAGCTGTGTGCACCTACCCCCCGAGCATAAACCTCCTCATCCCCCCTCCTTCCGTCAGACAGAGAGCAAGCGATTCAATTTGGGCGTGGGACACCTCGCATTCACGTAGGCTGGCACTGTGCAGGCTAGCCAGTGGGTGGTAGCTATCTTGTAGCACGCGCTGGCTCTAAGTAAGCTAAGGGCACCTCCACCTCCTCCACCTCCACAAGATCCACAACCACCTCACCTCCAAGTCAAATGTTCCATATATCTCGGTGCTGGCAGGATGCTATCGCACGCTGTAAAGGTCGGCTTGTGAAGCCGAGCAATTATAATGAGCCGACAAGCCTCGAGACAAGGTGCCAATGCAGGTCGTTGCTGAAATAATATATCCCTTCCAGTATCATCGTACCCAGCCTCCTCCAATGCCCCCTTGCCCGGCCACGACTGGGTAGAGATCATGTTGTTGTGCCAGAAGACGATAACGGACATTGGCAGTGTTTCACTGCGGAAGTCAATGCGAAACAATGACACGCGAGAGTAGAGCAGGTGACAGGTAACACAGAGGGGAAGGGCTGCTGAGGGTGTATGGCACATTCAACGTACTCAGCGTGACGATTCGTGGGGAGACGAGGCGCTGCTGAATCTCCCATCCCCACTTGGCGCCCATCAGCAAGCAGCAACGACCCAGGAGGAGGAACAGGGAGCGGGCGCCGTACCGAGCCAGAGCCACAGCGAGGGGGATGCGCCCGGCATCCGCACGCGGACGCTGGGCCCCACCCCCCCCCCATGCCACCCGCAGGGGACGGCACCCGAGGGGGGAGGAGAGGCCAGCGGTCCAGCGGAGCGGGAAAGGTGAGAGAAGAGAGGAGGGACGAAAGGCACCCGGGGGGGCCATTGGGCGAGTAACTGCCCAGCGGGTGCGCAACACTCAGGCGTAGCAACACACATGTATGCCAGATGCGCAAACGTCTGCGACGGCAAGCAGATGGAGTCGAGGGAGACACGATGAGCCCACAGCCGGAGGGGGTACAGGTCAACTGAGACAGAAGCTGAGGGCACACGCAGTGTACGAGGAGAGGAGTGGCTAATCTGAACTCCTCGCCCTGGCGGCAATGGATGTTCTGAGAGCCGTTGGTGTGGATGATACGTCTTTCACTGCAGACAAGCGTGCGAGTCCATGGCTGCTAGGCGTACTCAGAGAGAACACTGCAATGCTAAATGTTAGGCTCCTAGCTTGCGTAGGCGTTGGCGCTGACTTTATAGGATCCCACACGTGGTTATGCATGTATCGCCAGTGTCCTCCTCCTCCTCCTCCTGCTCCTCCTCCACTTCCCGACTGTGTGTAGCAGGGCTCGAAGAGAGCCTCCAGTAGCGGGCCCACTCCACGTTTTTTGATCGTGACGGCTTCGTGGGGCGCTTCGGGCAGGCTCTTCGCAGAGGCATCTGCTACCCAGCTCGGTTCGCGGCTGTCGCCGCCGCTTGGATCCGCCTCCAATGCGCTTGACTTCAACCTCCTCTTCCCCGTCCCTCTTCCTCATCAGTAGCTCGAGAACTTTGGCGTTGGCTCTGGGGACATCCCCAGGGTCAGAGCCCCTGGGGAGCGAATCGCTCGGGAGGGCTCGGTCACCGAGTCGCCGGCCTCCTGGGATGAGGTTCCTTTTTGTTTCTGACCCGCCTTTCAGGCCAGCCACCATCTCCTAATAAGTCACACTTCTCGCATCACTTGACATGTAGGCAGGGCGTGCTGGGCGCTTCGCCTGATAATCCCTCACCGCTTGTGATCCTGAAGCCAGGCGTTTCCAACAGTTGCACGGTTGGAGGGCGGGCCGTTTTCAAATTCGGGTTCTCCCCTTACCCCCGTGCGCATACGTCTTCAAAGCTTCCGTCCGTTACGAGGGTGGATGGCGATTCGTTCGTTTTCAAGTTGCGGCCTGTCGCTCAGCACCGCGCGCCTTCGTCTTACAAACTTCAGCAGCTCCAAGATGGAGGGCGCTTCGCTTTTGCACTGTTGCTCTAGTCGTGCCGTCGCGCACAGTCGTGTTACATCTTGTCAGCCACTGCAGAGATGCAGTGCTGGAGGGCGATCCGTTTTCGAAATGAGGCTCTTGCCGTATTGCCGCGCACATTGTTTGGAACGGCTGCTAATGTTTAGCAGGACGGAGGTCGGTGCGCCTCTCGCCCTCCTCTTCCTCCTCCTGCCCCTTCCTCAGGGGCGGTCTGACCGACCCCTAGCGAACCATCCCCTTCCGTGACGGCCCCCTCCCCTCGCCCCACTACGTATGTACGCGGCCGGAGGGAAGCTTGACAGGCGAGGGCGACGTCACGGAAGGGGATGGCTTGCCAGGGATCGTTTCGGCCGCGCCCGATCCCCCTCTCCTCCATGCTATCCTTCGCCCTGCGACCCCGCGGCCTCCTCCTTCTCCTCCTCGTCCTCCTCCTCCAGCGCCACCCCGAGGGCGCAGTTCCACCGCCTGGTGCGCCTTCTCCACCCCGACAAGAAGGTGGTGGAGGGCCAGCGCGCCTCCCTGGCGCTGCGGCGCGTCGTGGAGGGGTCCGGGCCGGCTCCCCCCTTGCCGCTCCACCCTCCTCACACGTCCCTCCTCTCCTCCCCTCCTCTCCCCCCCCACTCCCTGACCTCCCCTCCTCCTCCCTTCCCTTCCCTTCCTTCCCTCCCTCCCCCAGTCATTCCCTCTCCTCCTCTCTCTTCCCTTCCTGCTCCCTCTTCTCTCCACCTCCCTCTCTGTTTCTCTCCTCACTCTTCCCTCTTGTTCTTCGCTGTTTCCTTTTTCCGGCTCTGCTCCTCGAAACACATTTGCTGCCTCGCCCCATCACCCCTCCGTCGCTTGAGACGCCGTGTGGAAGCGAGCGCTGCAGTTCCGTTTCTGGGCGAGCATCCCAGTACGCTTGGAGGAGCATAGGCTTGGGATGCGGAGGGGACAGCATCGCTGGGAACCTGCGCTTTATGTGGGCGGGACGGGGTGACAGACGTTTGGGCCTGGGCTCATGTCTGGAGTCCGACAGGGGCCAGAGCCTGGGTGAGGCATGTCACTGGGCAGTCAGCATGCTGGTTTGGGACAACCTTACCATGTGGAACAAGTCTGTATACTGAGGGAGGCATCGGCCAGGAAGGTGAGAGGATGCGAGGGGTCTTGCTCCAGCCCCATCTCCTGTGCCAGGCGCGCTGCCACTCCCACCCTGAGATCGGACGTTGCGAACAAATCACAACATCGCGAAGATCACGACTGGAGCCCTAGATTCCATCTTTTGGCGGCATCCATTTCGATTTGTCATGGCCCCAGGGCCCGAAGTCCGAGAAGCTGGGCGAAAACGCCTGGTGTGAACGAACATTGCAGCGCTTTGACCTCGGGGGTACTCCGGCCCCTGGGAGTTGGCACCGTCGCCGCCGGAGTGGGGATCGCCACATGATCGGCCGATTTTCCACCACTACCGTAGGTAGGAGAGGGAGGAGGAGGAGGATGAGGAGGAGGAGGAGGAGGAGGTGGAGGTGGAGGTGGAGGTGGAGGTGGAGGTGAAGGTGGAGGAGGAGGAGGGAGGAGGGAGGAGGAGGAGGAGAGGAGGAGGAGGAGAGGAGGAATGGGAGAAGGAGGAGGACGAGGAGGAGGAAGAGGTCGAGGAAGAGGTAGAGGAAGGGAAGGGAGGAGGAGGAAGAGGACGAGGAGAAAGAGGAGGATGAGGAGGATGAGGAGGAGGATGAGCAGGGTGAAGAGGAGGAGGAGGAGGAGGAGGAGGAGGACGAGGACGAGGAGGGAGAGGGTGTGATGAGGAGAGGAGGAGGAGGAGGAGGAGGGAGGAGGAGGAGGAGGAGGAGGGAGGAGGGAGGACACGGGAAGAAGGAGAAATGGAGGAGGAGCAGGAGGAGGAGGAGGAGGAGGGAGGAACCAGAGAAGGAACATGAGGAGGAGGAGGAAGAGTCGGAGTCGAAGGAGGAGGAGGAGGAGGAAGAGGAGGAGGATGAGGAGGAGGACATGGAGGAGGAGGACATGGAGGAGGAGGAGGAGGAGGAGGAGGAGGAGGAGGA